TCAAATCAAGGTGGCAATTAGCTCACCTGTCACATTTTCACATGATATCTTCACAGAGGTAACTCAAACTAATTACGTCAAAGATTTGTCCCTCCTATTCATATCTTCATTAACAAGGCATGCCTCCAAATTTATGATATTTGTTTAAAATATTCGTATAGCTTTTATAGATTAGTGGCATCCTCATCATATTTAATTTTTAGTAGTTCTTCTTATTTTTCCACTATTATTTATGTTAATTATCAATTGGTTTTAATTTTTTTATTAATAAATAAATGATAAAAGTACATATTTATTGTTCTAGTCTTACACATAAAATATATTTGCATGTTACTTCATAATTTTATGTTTATCTCTAATTAGTAACTGATCAATTAGATATGAATTTTATAAAAATGAATTCTAACATTTATGATATTATTAATTTTAGTGTATATTAGTTTTAAATTATATTATTATTAGAATATGACTTCTTGGCAAAAAAAATCACTTAAAAATTTAAAAATATATGATGTTTTAATTACAATTAAAAAATATAAAATAAACCACAATCATAATCAAAATTGACTAAAAAAATAAAAAACTCAAACTCTAAAAAAAATAAAACTCTAGATAATTAAAAATCCAAAACTAGTCGAACCTGAAAAAATTAAATTTGAAATTACTCAAATCTCAAAACCAAGTTGAAATGCATTTTACATAACATCTAAAATTTGCATTAATTTAAGCATTGAAATATTTAAACATGTAATGATTTAAACTTGAAACGATATGAACTTAAAATAAAATAAGCCTAAGATGACAAAACGTTTTTTTATCACCTTTACATACGATACATGTGATGATTTGCATATATATATATATGTATATAACTTGAAAGATTCAAACACATAACAATCTAAACTCACAATGATCCAAACTCAAATTAAAGTAATCTAATTCTAGCAATTAGTTTTATTCACCCATTTTCAAGATTGAATGGGTATAACTGCAATGAAATAAAAGTTTATAATATTAATGTCATGTAATAAAAGTCAAAGACTTGGTTTTTATTTTTTAGTAAAGTTTGAAAGTTTATTTGGATATTATATACCTTTTTTAAAAATAGTTGTCAATATAGATGGTGACAAACTAGTTTTCAGTCACTATAATTTTGCATAAAAGTGACAACTTCAATTGTCGTGATGGTAAAATTGTTATTGTAATGATTTATAGTCGACATTAGTTTGTTAAGTATATACTGACAAAAATTTTTGCAACAAAAATAAATTTTGATGTGACAAGCAATTTTCTTGTCACAACAATGTTTGGTAATAGTAACCAATTTACATTTTGTCACTAGTATATTATTCCTTGAAAAAAAAAAGTTTGGTGCTATTTTTTTTATTTTACCAGTGACGATTTTCTAGTGATAAACAATTTTATGCCACAATATAATTTAATTGTGAGAAAACTTAAATTATCACAAAAACTATTATAATAGCTACCAAATAACAATATATCACAATTACTTATGGCAATAGTGTCATACCAAGATTTCATCACAATAAATCTTATATTTGTGACAAAATCATTCATGATCACAAAAAAATTATCACTAAAAGTCTTAACTATTGTAGTGATCAACAAGAGCATTTTTTATATGATATTAAAAAAATTAACTAAAAAGAAAAAGTTAGCAATATCCAGTGATTATGTTGTGTAACAAAAAAAAATTCATTACGCAATATTGAAAGATACAAAGCAAAACTTGTTGCTAAAGGATTTACACAAAAGGAAGGAGTCGATTACAAGGAGATTTTCTCTCTTATTTCTAAGAAAGATTTTTTTCCATATCATCATGGCATTAGTTACCCATTTTAACTTAGAACATTAGATGGATGTGAAAACAGTTTTTCTCAATGGTGATTTAGAGGAAGAGGTTTATATAAAACAACCTAAGGGGTTTTTCTCTAGTGATGGAAATCATTTGGTTTGTAAGTTCCAAAGGCCTAGTTATGGACTAAAACAAGCCTTCTATCACTAGTACTTGAAATTTCATGGTGTTATCTATTCTTTTGGTTTTGATAAGGACATTATGGAACAATGTATATACTACAAGGTCAATGGCAACATGATCATCTTCTTGATATTGTATGTTGGTGATATTTTGCTTGCAACCAATGATATGAGTTAGTTAGGTGAAACAATTTCTCTCTCAACATTTTGATGTGAAGGATATAGATAACGTATCTTATGTCATTGGCATTACAATATATAAAATAGATCTCAATATGTGCTTGGTTTGTTTTAAGAAGTCTATATCAATAAAGTTCTTGAGAGATTTCGAATGAAAGATTGTTCATTATCTGAAGCACTTATCATAAAAAGTGACAAGTTTAGCTTAAACCAATGTCCAAATAACAATCTTAAAAGGGAATGGATGAAAAACATTCCTTATGCTTCAGTTGTTAGAAACTTTATGTATGTTTAGATCTACACAAGATTTGGCATTGCTTACATTGTTGGCGTGTTGGAAAGATATCAAAGTAATCCTAGTTTAGACCATTAGAGAGCTGCAAAGAAAGTTATGAGGTACCTTCAAGAAACCAAAAATCACATGCTTACATACAAACATTCATATGATTTGGAGGTCATGGGATACTAAGATTTTGACTTTACTAGTTATGTTGATTCTCACAAATTAACGTTTGGATATATTTTCATGCTTGTTAAAGGAGTTGTATCTTTAAGAAGTGTAAAACAATTTTTAGTTGTTAAAGCTTTTTAGTTGTTACTTTTACCATGGAGGTAAAGTTCATTTCCTATTTTGAGGTAACATCATAGGGTATTTATGTTAAGAGTTTCATCTTGGGGCTTTTAATTATAGATTCAATCTCTAAGCCATTGAGGATTTATTGTGATAATTCAACTGTTGTATTCTTGACTAAGAATAATACGAGTGGAAATCAAAGTAAACACATAGACATAAAGCACTTAGTTTTGAAAGAGCATGTCAAAGCAAATAAGATGCTTATTTAACACATTAGTACTAAATTGATGATTGTAGATCTTTTAACAAAAGGCATGCCACCAAAGTTGTTCAAGGATTATGTAATGCAAATGGCACATATTTTAGTTCAGTCTGTTCTTATTTGACTTGATGTATTTGAAACTTTGAATGATTAATTTGTCTTTTTTTTTTTTAAGTTTTAATTTGTGTATATATACATATATACATATTATCTATTTGAGAATAAAAAATATTTTTATGAAGACCTAGAATAAGCATTTGAGGCTTATTCATAAAGTGTAAAGTATCACATATAGGGTTTATTAGGAAAGAGAGATTATTTGTAATATATGGAAGAAAGACTAATTTGAAAAGGATTTACCATCATAATTCATATAATTTATCTTTTCATTTAAACATGAAGTTTTGAAATATCATGTTGTAAGTGTCAAGGTGAAAATGTTCAGATCAAGTGAGAGAAAATTATTTATCTTTTAAATTAATTTGAATTTTAAATATATCTAACATTTATTTGAAAGTTAAAAAATTTATCTTTATCCTTTTAAATTTTAATTAATAAGTTTATATTATAAACTAAAAAAAAAAAAGTAGCTTTAACCCTTGTCAATGCTGTTATGGACTTTTCCTTTCATGTTCTCTTTCCCTTTTTTCTTTTGTTCTTTTTGTCTCTTTTAATCATTTTGTTTTTGCCAAATCGTGAAGCTATGGAGCCTTAAGCTTTTAGAGGCTCAGAAGTTTCTGCTTGGTTTCTCTTTATTTGCATTTAAGCAACTAAAAAATGTAAAAAATTTAAAAAAAAAGGGTGTCGAGAAAGAGTTGAATTGAAAGAGATTACTTTAAATAGGTCTAGTATAGACCTATTACTTAATTTTATCAATTTGTTTTTATAAGAATTTTTTATTTGTTTTTTCGTTTGGCATGCACATCTCCAAATCATTTGCAATCCCCATGTAAAACATATTTATCTTTTGACAAAAAAAATCTTTAATAAGTATACTATGACTTATATATTAATAAATTAATTCTTTATTTTTAAATAAAAAAATTCATTCGTTAAAATACTTTAAAAAATTATTTTATTAGCTATTTAAATAATAAACTTTTTAATATATTCAGTCATTTGGCGATAAATGTTTCTAAAAAATTCTATTAAAATTTTCAGTGATAACTTTTTCCTAAAATATTGAAGAAAGTTGGATAGATAATTTATTAACAAAAACCCATCAATGAAACTTGAAATAATAAATATTTTATTAATAAAATATAAATTATTGATCCCTCTGTTACTCTATAAATAAAAGAATTTTTTATTAAACAATGTATAAATCATAATGATCAGAACTCTTAATTCAAAATTAAAATGTCTTTTCTTTTAATAAATTAGCAATTTTATCTTCCTTAATTTATATAAAAAAATTAACAATATAAAAATTAAACTATCACCCAAGGATTGAAACACACGTAATATAATTAAATAAGTAAAAGTAATTTATGAATCGTATGGATTACAAGCTAATTTCATAAAATATTTTTTATTTTCTCATTCTTCTTAAGTCTTGCATATTTTATTAATTTTTAATTTTAAGATTTATATATTCTATTTTTAGTTTTTATTATTTCTTATATTATTTTAATTTTTTATCATTATTAAAATTTATTTCTTAGCTACACAAAAGAAAAAGATTTATCACTAAATTAGACCTTGAAGTCACTAATTTCAATTAAAAATTCCTTTTATATATAGTAAGTATAGTAGTAGATCCAAAACATTATCAATTTATTGTCTTATTTTTTAATATTTTGACTGCAATTTTACAAATTTTTTAAGCGAAAATGATTCCAGAACTTGGCGCAATTTTACAGTTTCAGCGGAGTGCATTATGCCCCCCTTGATTTGGGATAAAACCCAAAGCAAAGTAGCCGTTGTAGTGTTTAAATTAAAGAGGGTTGTCTCAACGGTCATCAAATGGTTTTGTCAAGGGGAAATTATCCGTTAGGCCTGGCTCCTATATCTTCACCATATTCCCCGTCTTTACACATGGAGAACTAAATTATTTATTCCCCTAGAAAGCCAAATCTACGAGCCCATCTCTCAAAGCTTGAAAAATCTTTGCAAATCCAGCAAAATTTCATCCTTCCTCAAATGGGTATCCACTTGAACACTATTCCTCAAACCACAATCACTCGATCCCACTACTACACCCACAAGATTTTCCTCTTCTGCAACTACATCCTTCTTGGTGCAGCCTCTAGTTGCATTTTCCTCACACTTTCTCTTCGCTTATTGCCTTCCGTCTTCGGCTTCTTCTTGATTCTCCTTCACGTTTTGACCGTTGCAGGGGCAGTGTCGGGCTGCGCCGCCGCCTCTTCAGGGACTAACAGATGGTATGCAGCGCACATGGCGGCCACAGTGTTAACAGCGATATTTCAAGGATCAGTGTCAGTGTTGATCTTCACGAGGACAAGTGATTTTCTGGGTAATTTGAAGTCTTATGTGAGGGAAGAAGATGGGGCGGTGATCTTGAAGCTGGCTGGTGGGCTGTGTGTGGTGATCTTTTGCTTGGAGTGGGTGGTTATGATACTTGCTTTCTTCTTGAAGTACTATGCATATGTGGAAGGTGATGTTAATGGGAATACCACTGCTATGAAGAGGACTGCAAAAGTGCAACAGGGACAGGATGAGGATTTGAAGGACTGGCCATGGCCTTTCCAAGTCTAAAATTACAGTACTAGTTATTTATATTGACGACATGAGATGACGGCATGGTTAGTGCCTTTGCTGAAAGTAGTTTTACTTTTTCATTCGATTACTTAATTGGTTCATTTTATGTGAGGTTTCTATTTCTTTTTCTTTTTGGTGAGTGATTCTTATATTTTGTAATGAGGTTGCTGATGATATTGATACCTTGTGTAATTCCTCGATCAAAAAATTAAACGGAGCCTTATTTATTTCAGCTGTTATCTTACCTCAACCACTTGACCATATCATGTGTCATTTGCATTGATCAACTGAATGCTATATCAAATCGGGTCAACATCACATCAGGTTCGATTCACTAGATTCTACCACGTCATTCACCAAGCTATAAATATTACATTTTCTTCTGGGTCGATAATTTTCCTTATTCACACGTTCCAGGCCTGTTCTGGCCTTACCTCATTTTTCTTCATGCCATACCAACCTCTGGTCATTGTCTTTGTTGTCTCTCTGTTGCTTTCGGTGTGCACATAAAATAGTTTTCAGCAAAAATATTTGACGCGCCAAGTAAGGGTGTTTTTCGGCATGGCACCCAAAAAGATGGCTTACTATCAAGAAACGAAGAATAATGGATAAAATTTTCTTGATGAAATTTTTTTATCAATAATTATCGATGGATTGATTACAAATAAATTATAAATAAAATATTGATAGAATATAATTCAAAAAAAATTATTGATAAAATATCAACAGATTATTCACGAAAATTATCGTTAAAATTTTTCATCATTGGTAAAATATTTTACCGATAGATTATCGACAATAACTTTTTATTCATAAAAATTTTTTAAAAAAGTTTAAAGATTACGAATTTTTGTTAATAATTTATCGATCGAATTGAATAAATTGCAAACCTCCTTCCTAGAATCGGGAAAACTTATTTTTTTCCAAAATTTTCCCTCCAAATCCCTAATCCCTCTCTCCTTACTGTTTATCCACTATAAAAAAATGGTGTATTAGCGACAGTTTTATAGCGGTCTTTTACTTACAAATACTGCTAACTTTCGTGTTTTTATAAAACTTAAGGTATTTATTATCAAAACGCCACTAAATATTCAAATAGCGATATTGTTACTTATAAATGTCACTAAAGACAAAAATTAGCGACATTTATCGACTAAAACGCGTCGAATAATCATTTCTAAAAAATTGGAATGATTATTAAAGGCGTTTTTTTATAAAAAAAATACCTTTAATAATTTTTTTCATAAAAAATAGAAGCAATTATTAAGGCGTTTTCTGTTGAAAATGTATTCAATAATTCTCTTAAAAAATTGTAGAGGATTATTAAAGGTATTTTTGATCAAAAAATACTTTCAATAATCCATTTCATTTTTTATGAGGGGATTATTAAAGGTGTTTTGTGTAAAAAATACTTTTAATAATTCCCTCCAATTTTTTCGAGGCATTCTTAAACGCGTTTCGAGTAAAAAATATATTGAATAATCTGCTTATAAAAAATAAAAGTGGTTATTGAATGTGTTTTCTGTAAAAAAAATACCTTCAATAATTTTCTTAAAAAATTTTAGAAGATTCTGCTTATAAAAAATAGAAATGATTATTTAAGGTGTTTTTCTGTAAAAAAATACCTTCAATAATTTTTTCAAAAAAATTTTAGAAGATTATTAAAGGCGTTTTTAGTAAAAAAAATACCTCCAATAAATCTCCTTATCAATAAATTTATCAAAAATAGAGTAGTGTTGTTGGTTAAAGTATTTAGTCGTTAACCATAAAGTCGTAAGTTTGATTCTTCTTTTTAGCATTTTATGGATTTTTTAAGGGATTATCAGAAACACCTTCAATTATCTTTCAAAAAACTTAAAAAATGTTGAAGAGAATTATCAAACTTACAACCTTATGATTAAAAATCATATATTCTAAGGACAATGCTACTCTATTTTTGGTAGATTCATTGACAAAAAGATTTATTGAAGGCATTTTTGATTAAAAACACCTTCAATACTCTACAATTTTTTAGGAGAATTATTGAAAGCATTTTTAGCAAAAAAATTACATTCAATAATCGTCTCTATTTTTTATGGGCAGATTATTCAAGGGTTTTTTTTGCTCGAAACACATTCAATAATCTCTCATAAAAAATTGTAAGGGATTATTGAAAGCGTTTTCTGCACAAAATGCCTTCAATAATCTTCTCATAAAAAATGAAGGAGATTATTAAAGGCTTTTTTTTTTTTTTTACAGAAAATGCCTTCAATAATCCCTTCTAAAAAATTGGATAAGATTATTGAAGGCATTTTTTTGCCAAAAAATGCCATCAATAATCTCCTTTAAAAAATTAAAAGAGATTTTTGAAGGCATTTTTTTTTTTTGTAAAAAACACCTTCAATAATCCTCTCAAAAAAGTTAAACAGGATTATCGAAGGCCTTTTTTTAAAAAAAATACCTTCAATAATCTCTTCTAAAAAATTTAAGAGGATTATTGAAGGTATTTTTTACCTAAAACACATTCAATAATCCTTTTTGCAAATAGTGGCATTTTTTTTAAGTAAACATTGCTATCGTGAAAAAATGACATGCCTAAAGTTTTTTCCCAAAATTTAAACCCCCTCTTTCTTCTTTATAATTTCCTTTCTTTCCCCAGCTTTTTTCTTGGAAGAAAATGATGAGAAATAAAATTCAATCAAGAAGATTGACAACGTAACAATGAGGCAGGTGACTTTCTCAAAGAGAAGATGAAGACTTTTCAAGAAAGCTCATGAGTTTTTCACTATTTGTGATGCTGAGATAGCTCTTATAGTCTTTTTAGCCACTAAAAAATGCTTTGAGTACTCCAGCACTCACTTATGTCATATCTACATGTGAATGCTTTACCTTGATTCCTGCTTTATCTCTACTGGTTTAATATAGAAATCTTTGCCTGTTGTTCGATTTAATGTGTTGAATGTGCTTGGGTGAGTGTGAAAGAAAGTGAGAAATGTAATTGTTTTGAAAGAAAATCTTTCGAATCAAGAGAACTATATAAACGTATAAATTCACGATAACTGAATGTACTTGAATCTTGTATTCTATTACAAAAGAACTTCTTTTAATAATTTGTCAGAAGCTAAGGGGTTTTGGGTGGGAGGTCATGGTTTCACATGAATATTTGTATGATATTTGTTGATGCTTGTTCGTACTTTCTTTAACCTTGTTTAAGCCATATTCTATGACTAATTAGCTGTCTTATAAGAAGTTTATGCTTTCCATATATCTTTCTTGGTGCAACTTAGAGCGCAAACTAATATTTTACCTTTCATTTTTCTTGTCAAAACCTGATCTCCTGTCATTTTCATTTTCTCTCCAACCAAACAGCTTTTAATTTCAATTTTTTCAATTGAATCTTGTTAAAATTTTAGGTCTCCTACATTTTTTTTTAATGGTCTTTAAGATTTTCATAATGAAATTTACAAATTCTCATGATTTCCTTTTCAAATTTTGTAAAATTCACGTTGAACTCAAATCTAGTTTCAAAATCGCACACCTGACCTATCTTCAGTCTTTTGATCAAAACTCAGTGAATTCTACCTTAATTTACTTCACATTTTTTTTCCTAGATTCCTAGTTCATAGCGCTATAATCCAATGAAAATTCAGCCTCAAATTCCATCTGTACAAGTATAATTAAATCTTCAAATTTAAGGCTGAATCCAGAAGGTAGAAACAATCCATGCATGAAAACTTGATGAATGATAATCCTTTCTCCTTCTAGGTGTTTGATTTGATTCTCTCATACTTTGCATTCTTAGTTTTACATGTTTACTCATTATTTTTTAATTGATTGCATTTATTTTCATGAATTCATTTGGTGTTTGGATAGATTTAGTTGTTAATGCTCTGTTTTTCTCTGTTTTAAGTATCACTTGAGTTGCTAGTTCATTAAGCTAGTTTTTCTCTATTTTGCTATCATTTTCTTGTTGAACTTTGTAGCAAACTTGATTGATGAATTGTAGCAGTTGAAAGGTGCATACTGTAAACCTATCAACTTGGATTGGTCCTCTATACTTTTTCTAATTACTTTCTAATGATTCCATGATACAATTTTTGCTGCTGCTAAGTCTAAAAAAGCATTGATCTCTATAAACACAACTGTACCATTAGTTCAAGGTACAACATAGTTGATTTATCCATTACACAATTTGTATTTCCCTCTTGAAACTTTGTTGCATGGTCATTTTATTTTAAAGGATTGGTTTATTTCCCTCTTGAAGCATTTGAATCCATTTATTTCTATAAATTTATTTACGAGCTGAAAATATGATTTGAAATGGTTTGTCTTATAAACTTCATAGAATCAAATAATCTTTATTTTTTTCCAATGCAATCAAACATGAACTTGATTGGAGTTCTATCTCTCAACCTTTCATATATTCTCCTTCCCTCAAATTATATGGCATTGCATTTCAAGTCTAGCAATTTCATAATAATATATGCAAAATGGAAGAACTATGATTATGAAAGGCATTTTCATGAAATACACTCAAAGAGAGAGTGTACATCTTTTTGCCTTGTGCATTTATCTTTATCGTTGGCCAAAAAATATATCTTAGTTTGTTGCTTTGGTTAAATCTATTTCTCTGTTATTTTTGCATGTATGTAACAATAAGATCTTGTATATCTTCCTTGATTTTATCTTGCATTACAAATTTTATGGTACTTTTTATTGTTTACCCAGTGACATTTTTCAATCAGGATGGAATATGAAGTTGTGGAGAAGATAAATGAAGTGCATTGTGATGTATTTCTAACAGCATATTTTGAGGTTCATGGAGAAATGTTCTCTTTAGCAATAGAAGCCAAGAGGAGAAATGGACGTTGTAGGCTCCATTCAAAGCAAGTGCGACTCCTTTCATGGAGTCCATTAATGGGCAAGAGGAAAACAAATGCAAAGTGGAATGTTATTGTATGTATTAAACTTTGTGTTACATGTATATTTGAACAAATTATGTATTTAGATATTTAAATATTTATAATATTCAGTTTATGAATTTAAATTCATTTTTATTTCTTTTAACAATTTTTATTTAATTATAATAAATATTAAAAGAAAATTAAAAAAAAGTAAAATTTTTATTTAGCGGTGTTTGTATTTAAAAATACCACTAAATGCTCAATTTAGTGACGTATGTATCAAAAAGTACTATTAAATTTAGTGATATTTTTACTGCAAATGTTGCTATTTTCAGCATTTAGTGACATTTTTAAACACAAACATCGCTAAATTAATAGTATTTTTTTATACAA